ATTCTCCAGGCTACTGCCTCTGGGACAGTAGCCTTCACTATCAATGAGACTCTTCTAGAACCAGCAAAGACGTTATGGAATATGCCAGTATCCTTAGTCCGTATAGCTAAGTGCACAGACAAACGTTATTGTGTTCCTATGAAAGACTTTGAGGGTTTCTATTCCCATTCTGCCCTGAATTATTAGTAGTGATGCCTGCCAATGAAAGATCATGTTTGGAGAGATTTAAATCAACCCACAAAAAGTAGGGTACAAGATTTATTTGGGAGAAAAAAATTATTCCCCCTACTTTCTCCAGATGCATATATCAAATCAGCAAGCACTGTGAGCTACATGTGACTGTATAAACTGGGATGCAATGTCCAGGTTTACTGATAAATTACCAGGAGCAAGTGAAGTCTTTCCTGCCAGCAAGTCACATAGTGGCCAAGATGGCTCTCCAATCTGCATTTGTTACAGCTGATGCTTCTTCTATGGTGATAGCATCTGTAATAACAATGAGAAAAGCTTCCGGATTACAGAACTTGAGTATAGCAACGGACATGCAACAGACTATAAAAGACAGTCTGTTTGATGGTTGGTGTTTGTTTTCAGACAGAACTAATGAGACTTTACATTCTTTTAAAAACTGTTGAGCTACTTTTCATTCATTAGAGGTCTATATCCCAGCCACCAAGAGGCACCAATGCAGACCTCAACAACAGCATCCATACCAATAGTAATATTACAGGCAACCTTTCTATCCATTAAGTAACCTCATTTCTCAAAGAGGAAGCATAAATTGCAAAGCAACAAGTCCTCTAATGCTAGGTCAACACAACCTAGCCTTTAATCAGCTGTAGGGAAGCAGCCCATTTGACTTCTTTCTGAAGGACAGCAGTAATATTCCTTCCATCTCCCCCCATTTGGGAACAGATTTTCCCATTTCCTCAGTGCTTGGAAATCTATAACAGACAAATGGGTCCTAAGCACTGTGAAACTGGGATATTCTGAGGAGTAAGGGAAGATGTAAATTACCTGGTTAATTGTTTGGTTCAAGGCACATCCAAACACCAGGTTCTCCACTACATCAAGTACATTCTTCACCTCTTTGACTGTCTGGGACTTATGCTGAACAAAGAAAAATTGACATTAGTCCCAACATAGAAAATAGAGTTTATTGGGGCCCCACTCAATTGTACTAATTCAGCTGCTTTTCCCCCTCAGGAGAGATTTCAGACCATACTATGTCTCTCAAGTCACATCTCACCACCATAGTCTTGATGTCTCTAAGGTTACTAGGCAACATAGCCTCATGCATTTACATGACCCAACATGCCAGGCTTTGCCTGTGCATTCTCCAAGTGTGGCTAAAATCAGTCTATTGACTGAACAGCCTTAGAGAAGTCGGTCTGTGTACCGTCTGTGGTCATAGCACTGTTAGTGTGGTGGGTGGATCAAAATAATATATCCAAGGACATTCCACTTTCTCATTCTCTTCCCTTTAAGACAATCATTACTGATGTGTCCCTGGTAGGCTTGGGCACTCACCTAAGGGGTTTGCGAACCCAAACATTATGGATAGAACACAAAGCTACCCTTTGTATCAATTTCCCCACATTCCAGACAATTCCCAAAGATTGCCCAGCTTTTCTCCCTCACATCAAGGGCTTGCCGTTCAGATATTGACCGACAATACAAGCATTCTACCTAAACAGACAAAGAGGGGTGCAGTCTGATCAGATTTGTCAAGAAGAGATGAAACTGTAGTTTTGCATCAAGAAGGGAATTACTCCCTTTGCTGCATACTTACTGAGTGCCCAGAACCAGTTGGCCAATCATCTCAGCCGGAGATTTTCTCAAAATCATCAGTGGTCCCTGAAGAACAGTGTGTTCACAATCATCTTTCATGCCTGGGTATTCCATCAGTTGATCTATTTGCAACAAAAGACAACAAGAAATGCAGTCAGTTATGTTCCTAAGGGCTGGTCCACACTAACCCCCCAGTTCAAACTAAGATATGCAACTTCAGCTACGTGAATAACGTATCTGAAGTCGAAGTACCTTAGTTCGAACTACAAAGTACTTACCGCGGGTCCACACGTGGCAGGCAGGCTCCCCCGTTGACTCCTCATACTCCTCTCGCGGAGCAGGAGTACCGGCGTCGACGGCGAGCACTTCTGGGATCGATTTATCGCGTCTAGACCAGACGCGATAAATCGTTCCCAGAAGATTGATTGCTTACCGCTGAATAGGGTGACCAGATGTCCCGATTTTATAGGGACAGTCCCAATTTTTGGGTCTTTTTCTTATATAAGCTCCTATTGCCCTCCACCTCCTGTCACGATTTTTCACATTTGCTGTCTGGTCACCCTACCGCCGAACCCGGAGGTAAGTACAGACGTACCCTAAGTGGGTTACAGTCCAGGCTCATTAACCAGCACCTTTCCTCTGTAGTAGGAACAGAGTCTCACATACATATTTCCCCTGTTCTGCTCATCCCACAGGTGATTGTCAAGTTGAAGCAAGACCATGACAAGATCATTCTTAAAACTCCAGCTTGGTCAAGACAGTGCTGGTTCTTGGATTTTCACAATCTCTCCTTTCAACCTCTAGGCTCTGCCTCCTCTTCCAGGCCTACTCACCCAGCAACACGGAAGGATGTTACACCCTCACCCCAACAGTCTTCACCTGACGGCCTGGCTGTTAAGTGGTTAGCTCAGCCAGAGAAGGACTGTTCAGTGTCATTTCAGGAGATATTAGACTTTTAGAGTATCTGTTACATCTCAAATCCTTGAGATTTCCCCTAAACTCCCAGAGAGTTCACTTAGCGATCTGATCAATTCACCTTCCCATTCAGGGAACATCCATTGTTTTTTTTTTCAAATCTAATGGTCTCCAGCATATGCCTATATTCCAATGTAAGCCCAGGATTAGTAGAACTCAAGTTAGCAGACCCTGGGTTTGTTAACTTAGGACTTGAGCATTTAAACTCATTTTAAATTAGTAGATGTTCTTATGCTATCCCGATCAGGTCTTCCAACCCTATGAGTGATACTTCTTATCATTATTTTAATTTCCCCCTGTTTCTCCTATTTAACTTGTTACGAACTGTTGAATGGGGGAAATATAGTATAATTTGAAACACATATTTTGTATGCATTTGTGTGTGCATGCAAGAGAGCGGAGACTCATAAGGGGCCCTGTAGATCATAACCTTTATCCCAAAGCCCACCTATAACTAGAAAAGACTGAAGATCTCACCTTATTAAAATACACTAGAATGTCAGCATTCTGATATATTATCTCACCAGGAAGTTATTTGGTGATACAGGTTACCTCTACATTTTAACTGAGAAGTGTGATTCGCATGGACCTCTGCTAGCTTTGCAAGCTAGCTCCCTAAAAATAGTGCTACTTCACTACACATGGGTATGTCTACACGAGCTAGGAATCGGACCTCCCCGCTCAAATATAGAAATAACCTTAGAGATTTTTTTGGACTAGAAAGCTGTCTCATCTAATCAATAAGATGGAAGAATTCTGAGCAGCAGTCAGTAAAGTTGTAATGAGTCTAAGCCATCACATCAATAACATTTTTGATAGAGGTATGTGATATGGGCTAATTAAAGCAAAGATATCCAGGTTAGAGACTAGATTAATATTACAATCTCTCTCTCTCTCTCTCTCTCACACACACACACACACACACACACACACACACACACACACACACACACACACACACACACACC